AGCTGCACTAATTCATTCAGAAACTGGTTGTTCAATGTCTGCTCCTTGGATCACTCTGAAGTAGCCGAAGCCCGAATTCAACTCTCAACCTACATGCTTTGGTGGCTTTGGAAATCCAGGAATCTCTAGATCTTCAAAAGGACTCTAATTCCTGAGCATTCTCTGTCCAACATTGCTCTTGCTGACTGGATGGATTTCATTGCTGCTTCTGCTTAGTTTTAGTTTTGGTTGCTTGGGTTTTCTTCATTTTGGTTTTTCTTTTCCTTGTATTTGTTCCCTTGTTTGGTAGTTTGGTTTGTATCTCAGTGCTAGGCTTTGTAGCAGTGGTGTTGAGTTGCTTTCCTTTGTTTGCAGTTGGTTGGTAGTGCTAGTTGAGGTTCTAGACCACCTTGAGTGGATCTCCCATGTTTTAGTTCCTTTGAGTTGCTTTTGGACTATTGTATTCGAATTTTGTTCGCCCCGACTTTTTTAATGGTTGAATCTATCGTTTCGGATAAAAAAAAACTATATCTATATCTATATATACTAGTATGTACCAGTGCGATGCACGAACGATATTCACTTTGGGGAATATTATAAATTGAAGATTATTAATAAATAAAAGAGTGATAATTCATAGTGACATTGTTATATAATAAAATAACATGAAACAAAATATATATTATTAAAAATCTTCTTATACACAACATTATTACTTTGTTAACTCGACAACTCGTTGTTCCAACAAACTAATATTTTCAATGATTTACTTTTACTTGCAAGCGAAACAACAACGTATAATTAGTTGTCACTAAAAGTTGATTTCATTAATAACATACAATACACGATTAAGATTGATCTAACTCTTCTTTATCTATTACTTACACGCGAAACAACAACATTTAATTAGACACGACTAAATACCGATTTCTTTAATAAATGTCAACGCACGATAAAGACTAATCCTGACACTTAAATGAAACCCAATAACAAAAAGAACTGGTGCTGCTGGAACTTAAATAGAACCCTAAGATGGATTTATTCTTAATTTAATGATGTAATTTGCAATTCGACAACTGAGCTGTTAGTTTAACCAAAATCATCCAACTTTGTAGAATTGGTTCTTATGTGGCTCGAAAAGTGCTCCTGTGGCATGGGATAGTTTGTGCTTACCATGATCGGAAGATGGATTGGGACTCCATGACTTGGAAGCTTGGAACCAAGCGTTACTCACTCGGACGCTTTGGAACATACAAGCCAAGAAGGACACCCTTTCGTACAAATGGATTCATAACATTTATTTGAAGGGTAGATCCATTTGGGATTGGCAAATTGGGACGAAAGACACACCTCTCTTCAAGTCTCTCTTTGAAATCCGACAAGGCTTTGTTGAAAAAGAGGGAAGTGAACGAGGAGCGGAAGCCCTTCTTCGCGGTTGGAGCTCTCGAGATAAACAAGACGGGTCTAGTAAGTTCTACGACTTCCTAAGACCTAGAGGAACCACGAGGCCATGGATCGGGGTTGTTTGGGGGGCTTGTAATGCCCCCAAGCACTCATTTATCCTATGGATGGGAGTGCTTAATAGACTCCGAACAAAAGACCGACTCAAATTCCTTGACAAAGACCCGAGTTGCCCTCTATGCAGTCTGGCAAATGAATCTCCGAGCCATCTCTTCTTTGAGTGCTCCTTTAGCTCGGAGATTTGGGGTGAAGTTCGTGCTTGGGTTATCCTTCACCATAGGTGTTTTGAAGTTTTTTGTGGGCAAGAGGTAACCAAGACCCGACTTGGGTCATTCTCAATGGAAGACGGTTCAGAGCTTCGTTTACTATTTAATTGTCCAAATCACAAAAAGAGAAAATAAATCCTAAACATCCCAATCAATGGCTTGGAGTTGAATTAACACTAAAAGAGCAATTAATTATGAGCAATAACAAACCATGAGCAAATAGCAAAACTAGACTATCGGAGTCTCATGCCATCAACACAACGAGAAGAAAATCAACGGCGAAGAGGAATAAACAAGCTCTGAGCACTAGGTCATTAACCTTAGCCTTCTAACCATAAGTAATTAAGCTCTAAATAGAGTCCTAACCCTTCTAAATAAGCAAGCAATTAATCCCTAAAACTACTTAAGCAAGCAATAAAAACAACCAAGTCCTGACTTTCCGTCCATCATCCACAATACTTAAATTTACCTTAATAAGCATTATAAGTAAAAACGAGGCACAATCGAAGTAAAGAGGCTTAAAGATAAGTACCCAATCTTCTATTGCGTAGTAGACAAAAAACAGAGTCAAAAGCTCGAAACTTGAACAAAAAGAAAGTCGCCAGAGAAACTCCCGGAAAATGACATAATCTCCTTAGTCTAGAGAGAAAACTTGAAACATAAGCTAAGTACTAAAAAGGAAAAATGATTTAATGAAAGGCGGTTCCTCAAAATACAAAGAAAAAAACATATTTACAGTGTTCTCCAAAACACACACTAGGTACACACACATTAAGAAATTTAGCACTCGGTAGGTAGCGAACTAGTTCTCTAGGAGAACTGGACTTGTAGTCTTGTGCACACTCGCTATGCGGCGAACATGTTTTCTAGACGAACTGGACTCTCGGAATTTGTCTCGATGACTATGGTTCGACTTTTAAAGCTCCAACTCGTCGCACACTTCTCCGAACATCTGGATAATTCGATTTTCTTAATCAACACGCCGAGTTCACCCAAAAACCACATAACTAATCACTCGAGACGGTGCATCACAAAATGACTACTTCTTCCTTCCGAGCGTACAAAACACCAAAACGCACAAGGAAGATATAAAAAAATTACGAAAACAACTCAAAAACGAAAAGCTAATAAAAACAAACAAAAATGGACCGGGACACACAAACCGAACCTAAAAAGACTTGACTCAAGCAAATAAAAACAAAAGAAAAACACACAAAAACATAACAAACAATAGGCCATCGACCCTTAAAGGTGCCCTCAAATGGACCAAGAAGGAGGCGAGAGGGGCGGGTTGGAGATCCAAGTTGAAGAAAGCGGTTCTAGCGGCCACCGTGTACTTCATTTGGAATGCAAGAAACTAGTTGATATTATCGCGTGAATGAGGAACCGACTTGTGGTTGCCCATTGCGCTTTTGTACGCCATTCACCGATTGTCCGAACTCAGTTTTGATCTATATATTTACATTTAACGATCAAAAAATAATAATGATTAGTTTTAACATACCTTAGCAATCGCAATTAATGAAATATAACCTAAAATCACAGATTTTGTATCCTTATCCGATTAATGTTGTTATTTAGTGTACCAATAAAATTGGATTTATCAACTGGAAAACATAATTATTTGTTATGGAGTCTTTCATTTTTTATTGGTACAACAATCCTCATATTCACTATACATGGGTTTTTTAGTTTATTTTCGGAATTTTTATATAAATGTGGAACCAACTGATATGCTGATGTAGCGAAAGCGTACGAGTGGGATAGATAAACGAGTAAACGAGATACTCTCTCGTAAAACACGTAAAACGAGATACTTCCTCGATAAAACTCACAATATCAATTCATCTTTTATTCATAAACAACCAAGGAAAATAAACTAGAGGAAGTCCATTATATAAGGCCCCTAACCCTAAACATTAACTTGTCCACCAAGCCATTAAATAATAATAATAATAATAATAATAATAATAATAATAATAATAATAATAATAATAATAATAATCTACACCATTCTCCCCCGGTTTGGAAGGCTTCGCCCTCGAAGCCGATGCGCACCCGTGCCCGGCGTATGTTGTCGAACCCATGGTAGTAACTCCCGTTGTTTCCCTCGGTCGAACACAAAGGTTGAATGCCTCACTCCCATGGTATCACCCTCTTGAAAGTCATGGAAACACATATATACAACAGTCACACACATAATTTTAAAGTCACCGTGGGAACCAAAACTCAAAATCTGTTTTCAAGGTCGCAACAAATTCACGTAGGAGAAAAGCTCGGGTCTGCGCAATAGAATAACTACCAATCGAACACCACATTCTTCCAACATCTAAATTTTTATGCCCGAAACATGATTGAATTCCTCCGGGCCCGAAGACTCCTTATCGAAAATCGGCAGACCGTCGTAGAGACTGTCCACTTCACCGGTAAGACGCTCCTTCACCTCCTCGGGTTCTCTA